CTTGCTTACTTTCTCTGGTGCTCTGCTGGAAGATTGAGTTGTTGGTTAGGTTAGGTTCGATGATGCACCTCACTTGGGACCCTTTAACCCAACGATACGTCGATGTACAGAGCTCCCTGTGCCAGCGACAATACTGCTTCTTCCCTTTGAATTTCTTCTCTTCCTCACCCCAGCCCCTTATCAAGGCTACAGCTGACATCAAACCCCCAGCATCAACTTCCAAGCCAAAACAACAGCAACCCAACCCCCACTCCCGACATGTCTGCTCCAAATGAAGGTCGCCAATCCCCTGCTCCTGAGGAATCCTCCGGCAAGCAACAGCAATCCGCTCCCTCCTCCGGCCAAGGCGTCAACCCGGAGACCAACAACAAGGAGGAGAGCAAGAAACAACTCGATGTACTTATAAAAACACAATTGAGGACATATCAGAGTGCTAATCCAGTGTACAGTCTCTCTCGTCCAACCCCACCGGTCCCCTTGACGAGCACCTGAAGGAGACACTGAAGAAGACGGAGACGCCTGATGTGAAGTGAGATGCCAGTCTCGCTTGAGTAGTGAGCAAGAGCTACGAAGGACATGAGATAAATGCATGAGAGAAGAGAGGATGTGAGAACTGGCAGGAAAAAAAATGCATGGAGTTGGCTTGAATCGGACGGGGGGGATGAATTGGGACGCATTAGACGAATAAAAATACGCCTATGATTCCCCTTTCGCAGCTCGGCAATCGTCTGGTGAACATAGTGGCTCATTTCTCTTGTTCCGTTGACGCCTCTGATCCAGTTACGCGGTAGGTTGAGACATGCATCCTTCACCACTCTACTCAGCCGCGACACTTGTGGTTGTCAGCTTCTTCTGCGCGAGACTGTAGATGTAGATGAGATGTACTCCGTAGACGTTGAGGTTGACGTTGAGGTTGACGTTGACGTTGATGTAAATAAGCATTGTATAGCCTTCGTACATCGTACTTACTGGTACTGTATAGCCAGGGCCACGCATGCCACGCATGCCAAGTGGGTTTCCCGTGCCAGTGCCACCGTACAGATAAGGAGCAGAAGCTCGTAGCAATCAGCAGTGAAATCAAGCTGGATTAAGAATTCGCCACTTCACGTGCCAAAACCAGTCAGTTGATCTTCTGGCTTTGCGTGTAACTTCCCGGTACTACGGAGTAGGGAAGGAACTGTGGCGGAAGACATACGATAAGGAAGGTACGGAGGATATATAATCCGTGACGTCACCCATCCAACAGCCCCGCCACATTCTTGACGTTGCCCCGCACTACTGAGTGCCCTGTCAGGGAAGGCTCTACCGCACAAAAGACGCAACTTCTACATACAAAAGCTCTTTCCACAACCCAGAGGAAATTTCTTTCCATCGTCACTCCTCTCTCCCACTTCAACTCCAAACTCCAACTCCAACTTCAACTTCACCTTAAACTTCAACTTCAACTTCAACTTCAACGTCAACTTCAACGTCAACTTCAACTTCAATTCAACTTCAACTTCAACTTCAACTTCTACATCCCCAACTTACAAACAACACATCACACCACACACCACACACCACACAACACCCCTCTACACACGCAGACCAAAGTCCACCAACATCATGTCTGCCAACACAGGTAAGCCTTCCCCCGAGATTCCTCTCATCCAAGCTGCTCCTCATCTGTTTGGTGGCCATACTAACCACCACCCACACTCTATCTAGTCCACGTCAAGAACATCAGCTCCGCGACAAGCAAGAAGGAGGTCCAGGACTTCTTCTCCTTCTGGCGAGCCTCCTCCACGCTCTACCCCTTCGAAGCAAACATCCGCTAACCCCTTCTCAGTGGCAAGATCAGCTCCCTCGAACTCACCCCCGCAGATAAGACCCAGAATGCCACCGTTACATTCGAGAAGGAGACCGCAGCCAAGACCGCCCTGCTCCTGGACAACACGCAACTCGGTGCCAGCTCCGTCCAGGTCACGTCTGCCACCGGCTCCAACGACGATGATGGAAGCCACTTCTCGGAACACGCCGAGAGAGACAGCGACGAGATCACCCAGGAGGAGAAGCCGCGATCGCGAATTGCGGCCGAGTACATTGCTCACGGCTACGTCCTAGGCGACCAGGCTATCCAAAAGGCCATTGACCTCGACAACAAGCACGGTGTCTCCAACCGCTTCCTATCCACACTCACCAATCTCGACGCCAAGTACCACGCCACTGATAAGGCCAAGTCTGTTGACCAGTCCTACGGCGTCTCCCAAAAGGCTGGTTCCCTGCTTTCCGGCTTGAGCTCCTACTTCGAGAAGGCTGTCGGCACCCCCACTGGCCAGAAGCTCGTCAACTTCTACTCGCAAAGCTCCAAGCAAGTCCAGGACATCCACGCCGAGGCTCGTCGTTTGGCAGATCTCAAGAAGACCGAGGCAGGCGTAAGCAAGGTCCCAGGCACAGAGAAGACAACTTGTAAGTGTGGTTCAGATTCTAAGGATTGTCCTTGTGAGACAGGAAAGTGTGCCTGCTCTGGCTGCGAAAAGTCAGATGTCAAGAAAGTTCCAGGTACCGAGAAGACGACCTGCAACTGCGGAGGTGATACAGCCAACTGCCCATGTGCTCCAGGCGCATGTGCTTGCTCAGGCTGCCCCAAGGCATCTACCGAAAAGGTTCCCGGCACCAACAAGACAACATGCAACTGTGGAGGTAGTACGGCCGACTGCCCATGTGATCTAGGCGCATGTGCTTGCTCAGGCTGCCCCAAGGACATCTACCGAAAAGGTTCCCGGCACCGACAAGACGACCTGCAAGTGTGGCGGTGATATCAAGAATTGCCCATGTGCACCAGGCGCTTGTGCTTGCGATTCCTGCCCCAAGGTTGAGACCAAGAAGGTTGCTGGTACTGACAAGACGACCTGCAATTGCGGAGGCGACGACAAGAACTGCCCATGCGAGCCCGGCAAATGCGCCTGTTCGGGATGCCCCAAGTGAACGGACTGGCCACGATCGACAACCAAATTCTGGAACTCTGGTTTTCTGGTTTATTTTGGCCGTTCCGAGGCCAAATAATATGTTTCACTACTGTATCTGTACCCGCGATTGTTTTTGCTGACTTTGCCGCGCTTGTATTTTTAGCCACCCCTGCTGCTGCTTCTGCCACCACCCCTTCTGCTACTGCTGCTGCTACTGAGGCGGCGGACGTTCTGGAGAGCGCGAAGGTTGCACCTTTGGAGCCTGAGAAGGGAACATATGTTTGATTGCGTTTGCCTGCTTTTGCGTTGCGATTTGAGATGCAAGGATGGGATGGAATGGGATGGTGGGGTAGGGATGGGATGGGATTGATGGAAGGCGGGAGTTGAGAGATATCATGAGGGATGAACGGATAGGTTCTTACTCTTTCGTATTATGAAAAAAATGCATGCGCTCCGTGCAAAATTTTCTGCCACAGGAGAGATTAGGGCAAATGTGTAGAAAGTTGTGATGATATCGAATGCCTCCAAAACCATGGACGGACAAGTCTTCCTACTCGAGAATTACGGCATAAGTTCATTAAATTCCCACGCTATGTCTCTGCTTAATTGCTTGTATCAAAGTGGCAGGGTAGTGTCTGATTGTCTTGTGATATGAAATTTGCTAGGGAGTTGAAAGAGTTCTGACATGATGTTTTGACGAAATATGATATATTGGGGTTTAGGAAGCTGAACCATTCCCTAGGAACGAACCAATGTATTTATAGCAAAACCCTTTGTATTTTATATACAAACTGTTTGGTGTTATTGTACAAAAGTATAATGCGTGCAATGCGATCGAGTTTCCATATTTTTATCATTCGTTTCCCCTACCCAAGGTCTTCTGAAGACTCTGCCATATTCTCTCTCTTTCTCCCCCGCTAGACCAGCCCCACAGAATTCCCTTTCGCCGCTGAGAGAATTTAGTACTTGGGATAAAGCCCACTCGGAATGCAAACAGAGCATAACTTTAGTGAAAAGGCGATTTGGCGGAGTGGTTAACGCGGTAGACTAGAAATCTACTTCCTTCGGGAGCGTAGGTTCAAATCCTGCAGTCGTCGATTGAATACGATCATAATGTGGTAATTCCCGTGGTCCTCTTTTTGTTTTTGGTCTTGCGTGTGTGCCGAAGAATAGCGCTGGGTGGTCTTGGTGGTCTGAGCTCAAGCTTCAATTCCAAGAACCGAGCTTTGCTACAGTATGTGTGAGCAATTCTGTTGCGGGATACTACCGGTAGTTGAACATGTTCGCGTCGCTGGGGAATTTTGTTTTTATTCTGTAATCTCGCTCAAAAACTGGTACATGTTCAATGACTTAGGCCTGCGAACCGCGCACATCCAAGATACACAATGCCGTCATTCATACCGCGACCCTTCTCCCAAGCTCTCAACATCGGCACCGACATCTGCTCCGTCCAGCGGGTCAACAAGATACTACGCAGTCGTCAAGCGCAGGCTTTTATCCGCAGAGTGCTCAGAGTAGAAGAGATTGCGCAGAATCGTCGCCTGTTGAGCGCCGTCGACCGTCTTCAGGAATTGGAGCTGCTCAATACGACGACGGCGGCCGAAAGGCCAGTCCACCCACCACCTAGTGCACAGCATGAGCGAGGTGAAGGGGAGCGGCAGAGTCAGAGCACTGCGAATAGCTCGATATGGGCTCAGGGCAATCCCGCTGCCCGTACCCAGGGCGGGAAGGAAAATGCAAGACTCGAGCCCGGGACGACACCGCCCTCAACGAGGCCGAGGCACGCCCGCGATTTTCCAGATGCGGTCCGGGCGGTGGAGCGGTGCGCGCAGTTCCTCGCTGGCAGGTTCGCGGCCAAAGAGGCGGCGATGAAGGCGCACCACTCGCGCCGCCTCACCTACCACTCCATCTGTATCCTGAAGCCTCCGCCGAGGAGAGATGTGCCCGGCAGCGTGCCGCCTATTGCTGTCGTCCTGCCGGAGGAGGAAAGGGAGGACGAGAGCGATGGCGGGCTGGGCCGGGCCGAGGAGGTGAGGATCAGTATCAGCCACGACGGGGGGTTTGCTGTTGCCAGCTGCCTGGCTCGCGATGAGGGAGGTGATGGAGATCACCGCATGAGGTGTTTTGCGGAGGCTTTTTCGAGGGGAGGCAGTGGCTGGATAGTTGCAGAGACGGGCCATGGAGAAGGAATGGGTAAGAAATGAAGGCCCTTGCAGATGATCGTGGGCGGGAGGAGAACCGTTCGATACGATACGCATCCTTCTTAGGATTGGAGCCGGATAGATGACAGCGAGATACTACCACTACAAGCTCGCGCTTCTGGAGTAGGTATCTGCCGCGAATGCCTGCTACTACCGTAAGGTACAAAACCCCACTCGGCCTAAAGATAGATTTCCCGGGTCGTCAAACGTGTGCTCTCGAAATCGACGTCGACGGTGTCGAGTCGCCACTCGATCGGTGAGTAAACCGGATCTCACAGCTGCCTGCTGTTCTCTCATACTCCCATTTGCCGTTCTCTCTTATTCCCATCTGCCTTTCTCTTACTCGTTTGGCTCTTAACATTTCTCTGATAGTAGGTCTATCTCTACGCAAGCGTGCATGCATCGAGAATATACGCCCATACATTCAATACATTCACATTTACAGACACCCTTTTCCTATGTCATCCTTCCTGCCGCAACGCGCAGAATTATTTCCGCATGAGATTCCTAGAATAGCTGTGTACCAGGACGGAAAGCCACTCCGCAGTCGAGACTTTGTATCAAAATCAACTCCAATCGCACAGAAGAGTACCTATGGCAGACGTCTATATAGTCGTCGGAAACGAAAAAGTATACTTATATTGAATGGAGTTAGATGAGGTAGGTAAGGTAGGTAAGGTAATAGACTATTTTTTCTTCTTCTTCTTCTTC